TCATTGTGCACATCCCTATCACCCAGATGTACGCTGTCCTTTCTGTTCCCAAGGACGCTATCAGAACTGCATGATGCCGCACTGTGACGAACGTCCTGCTGTTTTCTTGACATGTGGGCAACATGTCCTATGTCGGGATTGTTTCGATGGGATGGTTTGTGCTAGCCGTCGGGCTGAATGCTGCACTAACGCAACTCTCCTTGGGTATCACTGTGAACATCCCCGTCATCCTCACCGTAGTTGTCCTATCTGCCGAGGGGGTGACAGATGAAGTGTAGAAGAAACAGATAAAAAAAAAAAACGAGTAAAAAGATAAAAAAAGAAACCGAGTAAAAAGATAAAAAAAGAAACCGAGGAAGGAAAAACACAAAAAAGAAACCTGAGAAAAAAGAAAAAAAGAAAAAAGAAAAATATGTTCTGTGGGATGGTAATTGGATTATCTGTGGGATGTGTCACTTGCTTCGTCTGTTTAATAGGCTTTCTTCTTCTGTGAGGTTTGGTTTCCTCCGCCTTTTCTTTACCTCTTTGCCTTTTGCTTCGTCTGTTTAATAGGCTTTCTTCTTCTGTGAGGTTTGGTTTCCTCCGCCTTTTCTTTACCTCTTTGCCTTTTGGCTGTGTGCAAGTGGGTCTTTATGACACACGGGGATGGGGGCAGCCAGCGCTCAACCTGTCATCCACGCGGCTGGCCTTGTACGTACGAGGTGACGAACAGGTGGGGCTTTCCTTCCTTACTTCTTTTCCTCTTCTTGTTTTGTCTTTTTCCGCCTTTGCGCTCTGATTTCCAGTGTGACAATATATATATATATATAGTCAAACAGAGCTGCCCGGCCGTAGGCAGAGAGGGAGAAGAGGACAACAACCGAGGGGCTGTGACAAACTGTTTCGTCGCAGTTTCACAGACTCGTCAGGAGGCTGAACCCTATATATATTGTCACAAAAATATCAGAGCGCAAATGCAAAAAAAAAGAAAGGAAAAAAGGAAGAAAAACAGAAAAAAATGAATTCAGTTTTTTATCTTCTTCCTTATAACTCCCCCTGTTCAGAACCTCTTGCGTACAAGGCCGCCCACGTGGATGTAGGTTGAGCGGTGGCTGCCCCCACCCCCGTGTGTCATATCGACCCACTTGCACACAGCCAGAAGGCAAAGAGGCAAAGAAAAGAGGAAAGGAACAGCCAAATATATATATATATATATATATATATATATATCCGTATTATATCGTCAAACAGAGTTGCCCGGTAAACCGTACCGTCAAACAGAGCTGCCCAGTAAACCGTAGGCAGAGAGGGAGGGAGAAGAGGACAACAAACGAGGGGCTGTGACAACCCTCGCTGCCTACGGTTTATATATATGTGAGGGGGCGGTGCTTCTATGTGGGAATCATCATCTGGGATTGTCCTTTATGTTTAGATATGTATCTGGGATTCCTTTTTTTGCAGACAAGAGTGCTTTGTCCTGGGTGGTCTTGTCCCGTCCTTTGGCCTGTGTATGACTGGGGCGGTGCTTGCATGTGGGACTTGTCATCTAGGATCCGTTTTGTGCTGTTGTTTATTGCCCCCTGTTTTGTTCTATTTGGCTGTTCCCTTCCTCTCTTCTTTGCCTCTTTGCCCTTTGGCTGTGTGCAAGTGGGCCGATATGACACACGGGGGTGGGGGCAGCCGCCCCTCAACCTACATCCACGTGGGCGGCCTTGTACGCAAGAGGTTCTGAACAGGGGGCGTTATAAGGAAGAAGATAAAAAAATGAATTCATTTTTGTCTTTCTTTTTTTCTTTTTTTCGCTTTTGCGCTCTGATATTCTTGCGACAATCTATATCTATCTATCTATCTATATATATCGTCACAAACAGAACTGCCCGGTAAACCGTTGGCAGAGAGAGAGAAGAGGACAACAAACGACGGGCTGTGACAAACTGTTTCGTACTCAACAGGAGGCTGAACCCTCAACAGTCTGCAAAATCCCCTCACTGATTACACTGTAAATGATAATCTACCTTAACCAAAATCAAAGTAGACTATCACTCACCCACACC